ATCCCATGTCGGGTGAAAGGCAGGGTGCACCCTAGAGAGCTCATGTATCTACACATAGGGATAGACAGCCATGCCCGCTGCATCCACAGTTTATCACCATGAAAACATGATCAGTGCCTGAAGAAAATCACATTCACAGTTTTCAACTGAATTCATTGATTCAGTGACAAACAAGGAACAATCAGAGGCATCAGAAGAAGCAGTTTACAGATAATATGGAGTTCTGCACGCTGACCACTGGGAGATGAACATGAACGTCTTCCCTCTGCTGAACATGTCGTCACCACTCAGCCTCCAGAGCACTTCCTCCACATAACATCATTATAAGAGACATCTGTAAAGCTGTTCACTGCCAACAACTACTGCTGAGTTACACTATTAATTAGAATTATTATGATGATTTTGATGATGAATTTGTTGAATCCACAGAGGATTTATATTTGTTAAACTCCTTGAGAGCCTAGAAAATATCTTTTAGTTTTTCTATGTCATCCTAATGTTAAATCTGTGTTGAGTGTGAACATGTGGGCAGGACCAGCAGGGGAAACACTGAGCAAACCGATGATTTCTTTTAATGTGAAGGACATTTGCTCCTTCCATGCTTGTTTGGCCTTTTTTTCAATGCTTCCAGGTTTCCTCTAACAACCCATGTTTAACCTAACAAGGCCATAACCTGTGGGTAATTCTGGCCCCTTAGGCGAAGTCTCCAGAAATGCAGACTGAGGTAAAGTGTGCATAAAGAGCTCATTTGATGCCGCTCCATCACCCTGCTTCTTGGTCAAACAGCCCTCACAGATCATTGTTCTCCTGAATAACTAATGGTCTCATTAAGTGCAAGTGTTGCCTTGAATTCTGAATAAATCTTCAGCAGTGTCATCAGCTTCGAAGCTTCCCGTCACCACCACAGCTCCTCCTGAATTCTTCATGGCAGGAACCAAACATGCAGACGTCTCTCAGTGACATCAGAAATAACTGTGGACTCATCAGATCAAAGACATCTAGTCTGATGTCTGCTTTGCATTTCTTGGTCCAACTAGTTTTCTTCTTCCTCTTCTTGGGGTGGGTTTTGATGGCTGGTAGATAAAATGAACTTTTCCTCCAAAGCAGAGCAAATTCTTTGTCTTCCTTCCTTCATGAGAACCACTTTCATCACAGGGTTTTATTCCCACTGCACCCGAAGAAAGGTCCTGAAATGTTCTTGACTGACTTTCATGTCTTATAGTAATGATGGACTGTACGACTGAGCTGAGCAGTTTTTACCATGATATGGATCACCACAGTGGAACAGGGCTCTTAGCTTCATACCACCAATAGGACCAAGAGCTACCAATAGCACCAATCGTACCAGTAGTTACCAGTCTGTCGTGAAGACAAACAATGTCTGGTTTAAAGAATGTAAAATCTGAAACAAACTTTGGTTTGTTCACACTTTTTAATTTACTGCATAACTCTGATGTTGTTTCATAGCTGTGATGCCTTTAGTTTTGTCATACACTGTAGAAATGATGGAGATAAATAGAATCCTTGAAAGGGGAAGTCATATGACAGATCAGTTTTACGTTGGTGGGTTTTTGTTGTTGCACTGGACTGGCTTCTTTCCTTCTATCATCCACTCTGCTATTCAGTCGTCTGTCCACCCAAAACAAATGTAAGAGTGAAGTAGAGCTAAGAATTGTGTATCAGGTACTTCCAGGTTTGTTTTGTCCATTTTGTTCAACAATGTCATAGAAACAAAATGCACATTGTACTGCCCAGTCTTTTATTCAACAAGCCGACCACAGCGTACTGTTATCTGTGTCCAAAGCTCCCTTGTCGAGATGCCACTCTTCACTTAAGTGGACCCCTCTCTGAGAAACAGAGGCAAGCGCTGCCAAACAGCGAAAGAAAGAAATGCAAACTTGTCGTTTGAGCCTCCCCGGTGCTTCATTTCATCTTTTGTCAGGAATCACCACGGTTCACCGGGCAGACTTTGGACCAGGGCCATCTCCTTGGTTTCCTAGATTTGCATGGCTGTCCAGACGTCAGCAGCCTCCCCTCTCCTCACCCCTCCGCCAGCTCCCAAATGCGTCAGTAGTCCTTCCTCCACCCCCTCCTCCTCTTATCCACGCTTGCCTCCCTGCAACACCTCAGCCAGGCTCCCACAGCACACTGTGTCCTTGAGGACTCACTAACTACCCCTCCCCCCTCCACTGCCTCCTCTTTCATTCTTATTCACCATGTTTACACTCGGCCTACAAATAACCACTGGTTATCTTTGTCGTAATAGGTTTAGATAAGAACTAAATAGATGAGGATGACTTTATATTTCTCTCATTTATGTCTGATTTGCTGCTTTACACAAATACAGTAGGTTTTAGTAAAGACTTAAATAGCACATTTACATGTAAAAAATTATTTTAAAATGATTATTTATACCCGTCAGTTCTTTTCTTTTGCTGTGTTTAGGATGTAGGATCTAGACTGGAATACATGAACATGATCACAGACAGTCAGGTGCTGTTAAGACTTAAACACAGAGTGCAGCATTTAAGTATTTTTTCAGTATGTGCACAGTCAGATTAATGCTCCGCTCCATTTATCTCAATAGATGTGTATCAGAATTGGGAATCATCCCTGAAGTGACTGTGTTGTATGACAAGAAGTCACCAAAACTAAGAAGAACACCTTTATGAAAACCCATAGACTGTATACAAGGACGTTGTAGTGACTGTGATGTCATCCACTGGTTTGTGGACTACTGGTCTGAAGGAGCTTTGAAACTAGACTTAATCAGAGCCCTTTTATAGAAATTCTCTGACACATCAAGCAATAACGAGGACACTGCACTTGTTGATATGGTAGCGACCTGTCAATCAAAAGCTAGCTGAATAAATTGATTAAATTAATATCACACTGTATTTAAAGTCTTAAAACTAGCAATCGAGACAATAAACTCATTAGGAAAATGTTTACTGATGTAACAGATCAAGTAAAAAGTAGAATCGGACTTCTACACAATCAGACTTTGCAACCAGAGGAGAACGTATTCCTTTAACTGTTTACGATGTGAGCCCTGCATAGTTAACGTGTGGTAAAGGCGCCGTGGTCTACCAGTTCAGCAGCTGTCTGATGAGTCAGCTTGTTGATCAGTGTTCTGTTGATATCCTTTATCATCGTAACCAAAGCATCTTCGCTTTAGACTGGACACAAACGATGGACTTATTGACTGTGACCTCCCTCATTGGTTTGTGGACTCCTTGTGATTGACGACTGATCTGTCGATCACAAGGTGTCTACATACAACAAACCCTGCTTTGCAATAAATAACTTAATATTATATAATTTTTATTGCTGTAACATCTTTCAAACCTGGAGCTACAGGGTGCTTTACAAAACATAAAGACATGAAAAGCTTTAGAAACAGCAGGTCCCTCTTAGTTTAAAGCTTGGACCATGGGACTGTTAACAGGAGCTGATTCTTTTATCTCAGGGTTCTTGGTGGATAAGGTGTTTAAAGTTCTGAGATGTAGAGATTTAAAACTAATCAAGAGAATTTAAAATAGAAATTTGTAATGACTATGCAGCCAGTATGCTTCAGCCAGGACTGGACTTATGGGTTCCCTGAGTCAGATGTTTGTGAGCAATCATGCTGCATTGTTCAAGCAAGTGAATAGAAAGATGCAATAGGGAGGTGAAAATAAGGGTGTGGATAATCTGTCCAACCATGTTTTTAAAAAGCGTTGATGTGATCTTGCCAATATTTCTCATATATAGATGGTGTAAGTGGGTGTAGGCGAGGAAGTAGGTCAGGTAGACAGGTGTGTAATGTTAGTAGTTCAGCACGTGTGGAAGTCAGAACAATGTGCTGTAGATGAGCTGTAAACATGTAAACTCCCAGCATGTTTGGGTGAAGATCGTTCCTGCTATAAAGGAAGAAATGCTTATAAAGCAGGTCAAAACCAATACTGTGTGCTGCACACATGGACTGGACCAAAATCCTGCTATAAGGCCTCACACCATGACCCAGTGTGGAAAATGGGCCAGAAATAAAAATATTTTTTTTTTGACAACTGTTGAGGAGTTTAAAGAATCTAATTTTGCCGCCCTGGATGCTAATGGTGGTCTCATTGGTGCCGATGTGGACGATCACCTTGGTGACTGTGGGGAGAGCATTCAGGAATCCTGGAAGTTTCTCCTGAAAGTTAGATGTAGCTGCTCCAGGAAACCAACATGTCACCACATTTATGAAGCAGATGTTTCAGGTTATGGAGTCTTCAGTGAAAAAGATTGTAGGGGAGAGATGAGCGGAGCAGGACGTGGGCTCACAGTGATATTGAAGGCCATTCTCTGACGGGTGAATTGTTGCTCTTGGACCTTTAGGACTACGGATGGCATGCAGCAGATCTCCATGGAGCAGTTCCATCTGGTGAGGCTGGTGGCCTCACACTTGTTCTGCACACAACACCAGTTCATTTGAGGTGATTGGATCCATTTTACTTTATCTTGCTTTGATGGACACACATCCTTACTCTCACTTCAGTCAAACAACGATAAAAAAAGAGGAAATTTTACAAATTAGCACCCTGTGTGAGTGTTCTATCAGTTAGCCGATTAGATTGACCATGTGGTCCAGTCTCTTTTATCGGCTATGGACCCGTTCCACAGCAGAAAGTTTAACACATAATAGAAGGAAAGCACGGGGATCTTAATGATGGCAGCATTCCTAATAGGGGAGGTCCTGCTGCTGAGCATGCTGAATCACTATTATGGCTTACCAGAAAAACATTTAAATTCCACCTCCTGTGATAAGTCATGAAGGTCTATTGTGCTCAAATGGTCATCTGGTCACGTTAAAGGTGGGTGGAGCTATGTTCACAAATGTGTAATGACACCAAATGTAAAAGAAATATGACTCACAAATGTGTGTGACATACCAGGCTTATTCCCTAAACATGTGCAGCTATCTCATCAGGGTGGAGTCCATGACACACAAATGAACTAATTCCAATGAAGACAAACTATCCCCAAGCAATGCGTATATTGGAAAGACTTCTGAAAATGGTTTTTAAAACATAGTGAAGCTGAAATAAAGAAGAGTAAATGTCAGTTTATCAAAGTCTTTACACAACCACATAGTCCTAAGTGGAGGGCTAATCTGCCGTCAGTAACACCTGTGTGGGTTAGCCAGAGGTCTTCAAAACACGTCGACATTGATCATATAATAAAAGCCATTTTTTATACTTATTCAGTGCCAGTACAGGTGAATGTGGACATAGAGGTTATAGTGAAGCTGGTCCCTGGTTCAACCAGCTGTTGAACTACAGCAGCTACTATAGTTGTAAATGAAAACGCTCTGTTCAGGTGCTGCTATCAGATAAACAGCTGAAGATAACGAACCTTCCTCATGTTGGACTTATGACATGTCAAACGTGCAGGGATTGATTTTTGTTTTTTATTGTATGGCTGGGTGGCCTCTAGTGAACATATATGCACAGGTGTAGCATTTCTACAATCTCATACACTTCGTATGCACATGCATAGAGACTTAAGTAGCAAAAGGTGACAAATAATTCTCTCCCAAGTCTCTATGAAGAAAGGGAAAAGAGACTAGATGCCAAATTTGAAATCCACTGCGTGCTGTTCCACATGCACAAGGAAATCCCCAGGATTAGCCAAGCCGGCAAGTTAAGGGTCCTGATATACATGAATATAGACATCAGATGTTTACAGTGTCATACAGAGAGTTAAGTTAACACACGCTGTTGACTGGATTACACAACTAGTGTGGTAGGACAATGAAAGTTGCATTCTTAGTCATCATCAGTCAGCAAGATTCTCCCAAAGTGAGCCATGGGCATGAAGCACTTTGGTCAAAAGGGCCTTGCTACCTGTGCTGGATTGCCTCAGGTGTATATGTATTCATTCTGTCATTTCTTCAGAGCAAACTGTATCTTTACATACACAGTAGTGTTGCTTACAGGCCAGCCATCATGTTAACATGATATATGCACATATGAAGCTCTGCATGCAGAAGGAATCAGCCACAGCTCTAAACTCCCCATACGGAGTCCTCTGTTCAACACACAGGTATATATTCAACTTTATTTTACATTTTATATGTACCTTCAATGTATAGTATCATATATGTTTTCTAGGCAAGTCTTGTTCTGCATATGTTTAGTATTTCCTGCACATTTCTTCTTTTAACATGTTCACAGCTAAAGATCTGTTTGCTCTGATCCTTCTTCTGACAGTTTTGTGGATGCTTTGTTATAGAATGATTAGAAGGAATGGTTCATTTTGCAAAAATGTTATATTATGAACTTTACATGGTGTGTGAAGCTTATCAAACTGGAAAACTATTGGGCCCTTATGGTCGTCCATTTCTAATTTTATAAAGACTGGAAATCCTGCTCCTGTGTGACTATAATCTCACTTCTACTTTAACAACAACAACAGTCAACCAAAGTCCAAGTTTATGCCTCACATGTGGGGTAAGTAGGAACAACTTCAGCCTGCTGTCTGTGCCACTTCTACATAAGTGCCACATGAATGAATGGCTGGCTGACCAACCACCTACAGAATAAACCAATTTCACACCAAAACCTGAACGAGAATGCAATCTGGACTCAAGGTTGGCAGCTTCAGCTGATTTGAGGCAAACCTACACGTTTATTTATACCTGATAGCCTGTTAGACTCATGAAGCACAGAGCAACAGTCAAACTAAAAGAAGAAAAAAAAGCTGTTTTATCCAACAACTTAGTGAGCAAAAGCTCCCCAAACACCTTAGAGACTTGATTTCAGTGGATGAGTCAAGCTCTCCTCCCTGCACACAGTGTGCAAAGAAAGGCTTTTTATTGACGTAGCTTGAAAAAAGACTTGTCAAAAAAGCGAGTGATGTGAAACAGTCAATTCCCCCTTCTCCTCCCTCAGCTGAGAGGTCTGATCGTCTCATGAGCTCTGCTCTGTAAACAGGCGTCCCTACAGAGGGCAGGCAGCACGGCGGCCAGCATCACAGCACAAATAAAATAAAATAACAATAAAAATACATTTTAAAAAAACAGGGGGCAGGAAAAAACAGCGTCCCTGTGAGAATGACTGGCTAAAAATATATCCTCCCTGTGCCTCTCCAAGGTCACTCTGTCATTTTGATTTGATTGGAACACAGCAGTCACAGCCATCTTCCTCCTGAGCCTCACTAACAAGCATGGCATTACTCTGCCAGCTATTGCTCAAACATCTTCCATATCTGAAGCAGAGATTATCCTCTTTGATTAATTTTGCTTCCCTGCCTGAGTCATAATGCTGCAATTTATTGACCACGTAAACTGGGGGAAACTGAAAACTTTAAAGGTTTCTGTTTATTTTGGGTTTTTTTTTTCTCTCTCACTATTTTCTACAGTGCAGAGCAAATGTTAAGATATCAAACTGTGAAATATCACATATGGGATTAGATAGTAAACAAAATATGTTGTCATCCGTCATGAGTTTATCATCTGGACTAGTTTACAATCAGGTGGAAAGTATGGTCAAAAGGTAGGTGGTGGAATCTCTGGACTTCCTGATGTGTCTGAGAACATTGGTTGTGCTGTGTTGAGGTTCTGTTGGTGACTAAGGATGACTGCAAAGGATCATTTAAAGTTACCAGCTTCAGAAATAAATGGATCCACATGTGTTATTTCAAAGTTTTGATGTCCTCGTTTTGGCTCTGTAATGTACAAAATTACTAAATTAAAGAAAATCCCTCGAGTAAGTAGGAGCGTCAATATGGCTGAGTTTGTTTACGCTGTCTGTTGGCCTTGTGAAGCTCATCAACTGGAGGTCAGAGTCTACTAGAGTTCGATTGAACACATCACCTTGTAAATATTGTTTGGATTTGCTTGGCTGAGTCACTGCTGCCAAAAGAAGATGTCTCTAACATTTAAAAGCTGTGACACTTGTGAGTAAATAATAGAGAACAGGGTTGCACACAGAAGGATAAAAATAAGAAGCACTCTCCTGAAATACAGGAATTTTGAGCTTCCGTTGAAGACCATGTTTTCAGGGGACATCTGCAGGACCTGTATGATTGTAAAATGGCAGTGACATGTGCTGCACAGTGAGTCAGATTCAACGGCTTTTGGAAGACGGGGGATTCTCAGAAAGTTCTCCAAGGCGTGTTGCTCATGTTAACTCAGGCATGTAAACTGACACTACTGGTGCAAAGGGACAACCCAGTAGGTGTGTACCGGTTTTTAAAGCCTTATCAGGTTGTTCATGCATGACAAACAGGGGTAGGATTTAAAAGGATATGTTCCTGCTTTATGTATATGTGGCAGACGTGTCCTCACAGCTTGTCACTGCTGCTACAAATGAACAGCGTCTCATCAATACAGACATTACCAGCCGTGTATGTTGAGATTAGGGCAGAATTTTTGTCAGGAAAATCTATTATTATTATTATTATTATTATTATTATTATTATTATTATTATTCATCTTTTACTCAGTCACAGTGTTAAACATGATGCTATGTTTGTAATTGTTGGATAAATATCTCCTGGAACATTGCTTACATTTGCTGCATTTATGAAGAAAATACAAAAGGTAGTTATTTCCCATTTAAGCTTCTCTCTTCCCACTTAACAGCTTCATTGAGAGTGTCCACAGACTGTAAACAAGTATTTATGATTGCTCCTCTGTGACAACACCCGGCCACGAGAACAACAAAACACAACGTGACGTTCCATGTGTGGGCAGGCTGGAAGGAGGGAGGCAAAGTTTGTGCATGGTAAGAAGACTTAGTCAGCCACCCACGTGCAGCTTAGCTGGCTGATCGACACTAACTCACAGCTGCTGCTGCTGCTGCTGCTGCTACTGTGCACGGTTATGCTTGAGCTAAGTCAACCGCACAAATAAAACATGAGATAAGAAGAAAAGAAAAAAAAAAAAACCTCCACAGATGTTTGTCAGAGGGCAGAAAGGGGAACAGAACCGGAAATGTGACATGAAACTCAATGAGGAAGTATGCTATGACATGCATCGAATAGACTGAGAGAGCAAAATTAGGTTTTTAATGCAAAAAGTTTGCAAAACAAGTCCTGTGCTAATTTAAAGACAAACAGCCGGGTGACAGAATTCAAATTCTAAGACATCAAAAACTAAAATATTCAACTGATGCATCTGTCTACCAATTCTGGCACAGACTACTACATTTTCAAAAGAATTTCATAGCAGGGACTGTGCTGACTTAACCCCTGGCCTGCATGGAGAGAACTGGTGCATGTTGTGAATGGATGGGCGCTGTAGATAAATGGACAGGCAGGGACCCTGGCAGCAGAGCACAGAGCAGCCAGATTCATGGCCAGACAGCAGAAATCTGTCAGCCTCCTGGCAACGTGAGAGGACACCTGGAGGTAATGTAAGCAGCCCTCCCCAACCCACACCTCCTAACACCCCTCTCCTCTTTCTCTTTATCTCTCTGTCCCATCCCCCTCCCACCTCCTCCTTCTGACTCATCACCACAACCTTAATCACCAATGAGTGGGCACTGCCTCCACCTTCCACGACACAGGAGGGTGAAAACAGTGGTGATACTCTGTTGCCCCCTGCTGGGCGATGTGCTGCATTACATGCAGACCCACATGGCCTAACATATTGGTGCTTGTTTGCACAGGAACAAAGGAAATGTAGTGAGCTTCCAGTGTGAAGTAAAGTAGTTTAGGAGACGTTGAACCAGTTTTACCAGTAGAATCGGTTGTGTACTGTTTATCCTGATAATCTATGCACCTCTACCTTCTTCTGTGGCTCGTGCTGTGGTTTGTATTGTCTGAAGAAACACCTGACCAGGTCATTGGGGCTACCTGGCCATCTCTAACTTGACGCAGTCAGGGATCTACCTGGGCTCACAGACAACCAGTTTGAAAGATGTAGAAATTTACCAGGCAAAGTGGGTCTGAAGACACCACAGAGATGCATTGTGGGAAATAGAGCTTCAGACAGGCACGGAGTCAGGGTGTCACATGGCCCCTCCTGTCCAATCATCATGGCTGAAGTCCAGCCCACCATCAGCTGCTTTATAAGTGAGGCAGCGTTCATTCATTCTGGCCGCTCCACGCTCACCACATGGTGCTGCTCCAGCATCTGCAGATCATCACATCCTGCAGTTCACCTCAGAACCTTCACACAGCTTATGTAAAACTCAGAGGTTTATTTGTTCTTACCGTCTGACCCCGGGTGGGCCGATCCGTCTTCAACGTGGATCTCAGCGTTCAGACCAAACCGGACCAGCCTGCAGGAGTCACCGATGACACGGCGTAAATGTGAAGCGGTGTCGTAGCGCCGTTACTCCGGAAATCACCTTCATCATCCTCAGAAGTAAAAAGTCAGGAAGAACTTCACGCGACGTAAGTCCAATGAACTTTAGATCTGCCTCGGAGTCACCAGTGTGCTTCAAATCCACATCGGAAGCGTCGGGCGTCCCAGCTCCGCCCATCCCGTCGGTCCACCAGCTCCAGCTTCTCCTGGAAACAGCCGAGGTCAACTCATCTCCCCTCGTCGAGTTCCACCAGTCACCAGTGTCTCCTCTACTCATCATGAACTCTATTCAAGTCCTGATCCAGGATCCTCAGCGTCCGTGACCTGCTGGACAACTTCCGGGTTCAGTCCGCTGTCTCCGCCTAGAGTGACGTCACAGCCGATGTACCGCAGCACCGGACCCGGTGGCGTGGCCCGTTTCCTCCACCCTCACCTGTGTAGCCAGATACTGGCAGGTAATATCAGTCTCATAAGTTGTGTTTAGCTCATCCAGTCAGGCTGTGGAGGAAAGTCTTGATGGTTGTGTTTAAAGAGCAGCTAAAAAAATTAAGAGAACAAATGCAGATTGAAGGCCTTCATAGGACAGTGCCATGACTGTTTAAGGTAGCTGTTGGCGCTAATACATACAATTCCAAAAATTGTGGAGTGAAGAATTAAAATTAACTTTAATAAAACTGTTGTTTGTTAAAGAGAATATTGAGGGTGCAGATATATTTATATTTATACAGATTATCTGAAGGTGTGGAGGTGCAACATGACACATAGCAGAGCAGAGACGAGCATGATCATGAACAGAGACTAATGCACCAATAATTCCAGTCCTCTGGGCCAAGGCTCCAGATTGAGACCATTCTGAGAATATTAGAGTTAAAAAAAAAAAAAAACCTCTGACAGAACCAGCTCAGGGAGGGACGGCCATCTGCCTCCACCGGCTGGGTGGATGTAGGATGAATTATAAAGTGTAGTTTACAGTTAAACAGTTATTAGAAGTTATTGTCCTTTTGTTCCTCCATTTCAAATGGATCAATGAAATATTCCATTTGGTAGTTGGTGGAGGTAACAGGAGGCATCATGGTGGGGGCAGCAGGATGCAGAAGGTGAGGCCAGCGGCTGTAGTTCAGGAGCTCCAGATCCAGAGACATCCAGAGAGAACAGTTGTGGGTTAATCATGAAGCTGTTGAGCCGTCACTTTAAACCAGGGATAAGCAGCTGCTCAGTTAGCTGCATTGGTGAAACGTCATACTTTTAACCTAAGTGGCTGTCAGTCTGTCCTGGCTGGTGCTTAAAACAAACCGCTTAACTGCTGTATGTTTCTAAAGCGGCAACTTGATCTTTGGTCATCTTGGGCTATTCTGACATTAGGAAATGCTGTTTAATTACTTCCAAAGTAATTCAGTTCCACCTGTCTGAGCACTGCAGGCACCAATCAGCAGCTAGCCTTAGGATTCCGTGCCAACGATGTGGACTATCTCCGAAGCAGTACACGACTCATTTTCTCTGCATCGGTGCAGCTTCTGTCGTTCCATCATAGACAATAAAGGCTATGGGTCGCTGGATAGTGTGGGGACAGTTTTGGGGCACAAAAACACAGCAAAATATAAAGAAAAGAGAAAATACACAACAGGAGAAGTGGTGGAGGCTGCACAAGTCCAAACAGCAGCACATCTGTGTGCTTTCTTCAAACAGAGGCTGTTATAACGAGCGGCTCACAGAAAACAAGTGAGTGTCATAGTGCTGAGAATATATATATATATATATATATATGCCCATAACCGTTGTTTTGATATTGTCTTAGTATATCTTCTTTATAAAAAATATAAATTGATTTAGTTTTTATGATGAAATGAATTTCTATAACTAACAGAGTGACTCTGTCCAGATATGGATTCCTCTGGCTATAAGCTTTCAATAGAGCCCTCACTGATGTCTGTAGGTTCAAGCATTCAAAAGATATAGCACTTCTTCTTTACATGTTCAGTGGTGTCCAGTTTGGATAGATGTGGATGAAACCCTTTTATTGCGGCCGTCTTGAGCCCGGTCGTAACAAATGGGGGCTCGTCCACTGAGATCACTACATCTATTCAGGTATTTGGTCTGTCTCTTGTGTCTTCGGTAGCAGTGAGCACATGTTGTTGGTTGCCCACTGATTGGTGGATTTGGTCCAGCGGAGGGCTTTGACTCTGCTGCGTGCTTTGGAAGACTGCAGTGGTTTTGGGGGAGACACACTTTGTGTTGCTTGGAGGCAGTGTTGTTTGTAACTTAACGTTGATTGTTTGGTGCCATCCAGAAGGTGAGTGTTGTTGTCTCGATGCTCTACTTACTGAGATTTCTCCGGTAAGCTAAAGGACACGTCCTCTTTGGGTTGTGTCAGTTTTTTCTTTTGGTCGTGCTGTGGGAGCGGTTAGCGTTGGTTGTCTTCGGACAGCTATCTCGGGGCCACTCTGTGTAGTTTTGTGGGGTTTCCTGCTGCAGGTGGCTTCACAGACTCGCTGGTTTGGTGCTTAATACACCCACCGCAGAACCACATGAAGACTAGGGGTGAGTTTCTAGTAAGTTGGTCAGACAGTCAGGGGGAAACTCTCTGAAGAGCATCATCTGTGTGTTTATTGGTTAGCACTCGACTATCTGTGATGGCACATTTAAAATTACGGTTTCTGTGGCTGCAGGACAGATTATTATTACTTCAAATAGTTGATCATTTTAGTCTTGGAGAGAAAATAAAGTATAGATGGCGTTTGGGATTTGGTTGTGTCGTCTTTGTTTGAGCCAGCTGTGCTTGAGGAGAGTGAACCTTGCCTGGTTGTGGCAGTAACGGTGGTTGTGCAGAGAGCTGGGCTGATGTTTGAGGAACAAAGTTGTGAGCGATGCAGTTTGTGGTTGACCATTTGCGTTGGTCTTGGAAATCTACATTTGGATTTGACTGTTTGGAATATGCGCTTCTCAGGTTGTCAGTAAACATTTGACTTCTTCAGTGAATATGGTTGCTAACTGCTTTAACTTTGTGTGCAGGTTGTCTGGTTTAGGATCTTTTGGTGATCCCGTTGGGACCCCTTTTTTAAGGAGGGGGTGTGATGACCCCTGAGGTCATCTTGTGTCTTGTGGGTGGTTCTAGTTCGGCTATTGGTTCTGTGAGTGGCTGTTTGGGGTAATCAGGAGCACCTGTGACACCCAGTGTGTTCCTGGGTTACTTAAGGGCTGACTGCAGTCTAATCTTGCTCTACTCTGCTTCCCTC